TGAATTTTCGGTGTTGTTGCACTGCTTCAACTGAAGTGGCAACTAGGCACTTCATTTGAAAAATTTTGGAGGGTGAATATATATCGAAGGACGATTACTAGGCCGACTCCTATTAACTTTCTTAGCTGTCCCGACCTGAATTTGATAAAATGGCTGCATCGTGTTTTATACGTCTACCTTTTAGATATGCCCTGGTTTGAACCTAGACCATAGCGTGTCCCTACGACTAGTAGGCAAATACGCTACCCACCAAGCTATCGCGCGCGCTCGTCGCCCTGCTTAGCAACTAACAATTATCCTCTAGGTATCGAAATTTTACGTCTGCATTGAAACCTAACTCTAAGAAACACGTGTTCGATTTCAACAAATGCTACTGAAGACTTCGTACCTGTTGTGTCATTGTATAATAAATCTGTGCTTGGCCATATTTCTGCTTTATTATCTCGTAAAGATTTGCCGTCCAAGACGAAGAAGAACATGTTATTGGTTGTTGTCAGATGATTCCAAGATTAGTTGTGATGAGCAGATGTGAACGTTCAGCTTCGGCACAGTAATGATCGTGTTCGTTCGTTTTGAAAGCTGGAGGGTGACTGCGCACGGGATAACTGACACAGACACTATCTACTTTCATAGAAAAGCAAAATAATCGAGAGTCTTTCATTTGAAGTCTAATGGGACATATCAGTCATAAATGTAACTGATCTCAAAGCGAGATGTGCGGCAACGCAACAATGATGATGAGGGTAATAACGTTGCCTGCTGAAGCAAGATCTGCAACGAAGTTTTCACGCTTCATTTCGTAACTCTCTTCATTTAGCCATCTATACGGCGCTGCTTAAAGTGGCTAACACGTTTTTTTTTTGACCGGAACTATTATGAGACAAAGAAACGCAGTGGGGATCTGTTTGAGAGTTTCTCGAAAAAAAAAAAAAGTTGTCGTAGCACCTCACTAAATACGCGCCCTCAGTCCCTACTTGCTAACCAAGCGGTTATCAAGTTTGATCGAAATAATCGAAAAAAATGTTTACTTCAGTGGTTCTAGATGAATGTATCGTTCGCATGTGTTGGAAACGATTGTTTCCTGGTTTGCAGTATATGCGCGTACATGTACCATCCCTCAGGTCTTCCGTCGACAGAGACGAACGAATAATTGAATCATCGTCTGATAACGACGTATCGTCTCCTACGCAAGCAATCACAAGAAGCGCAGTCTTTTACTAGAAAAAAAACATATACTATTACTATTATTGCAAACCTATTTATATACGATACTATTAAATAAGAATTCAAAATTCGTTAGTTTTGCTAGGCGTCAGCCAGTTGACGAATACGTACGTTATACTTTATGGTACAAAGGTGTCAATAGTGTAGTACACGGTTTAGAAAACACCCGCGTCGCCACGTAGCTACTCGTTTGCTTTGCCCATGATCAAAATCGAATCTAATACTTATTCAATGGGAGAATCAGTTGATGGCACAATGTTGCGTCCGGTTTCCAGCAGACTCGAAATTAGCGAAGCGCATTGTTGACGCTCGGTTCTCTTGGTCAAGCAGCGTATAAAGCGAGCCTTTCTTGAGGCATTATCATCAGAGTCGCCTCGCATCTCATTTGCTTCCTCATATCACAGACACAGCTAGATAGAGTTTCCTCTGTTGAGTGTCGGAATCAGTGGGGTACCTATAGGTTTCTTTTATACATTAACACCTCGATGGTAGCACATCATGTAGAGACTCTCGCAAGCTATTAGAATGCAAGGCCGTCTCTTGTAGCCATTCATTCGGTCATTGTCCATAGGCTGGCGCCTCATAGACTACGCTCTCTTAGCGGGCTCTTGCAGCTCACTTATGGACAGAAGCGACATGTTGTCTCAATATAGCTTATCACACATGACTTGCATCGCGAATCGTAACCTTTCGCACATCGTCTCTTTTAGGGAGACGTAAGGCCTCTGTGTTGGAAGAAGATCAAACGTGCCGGCTGGCTAACTGACCGTTTGGCTGGTTTGTTAGCTCCTCGCTAGTCCCGATTTGCCGGCCAAAGCCACTTCATCCCAGTGCTGTTGTCTGTTGTCATCATTCGCTGTCGATCGTGCCGTGCAATTGTATGGGTTAGGCGATTGTTTTTCCGATTGTTAAGGTCTTTCGACGGGCTGCAGACTTTATTCTTCCATATAGCATCTCTAACGCTTCGCATCCGATGATCAAGACACGTCATTGATTCAGCCGAATCAACAAATGAGATTGATTCTTTGCTATTCAAGGGGTGTCGTTTTAATCGCGCCAGATCTGGCACCAGCATTACATTGTGGCCCCGAGCTGTCAGGAATATCTCTGTTCGGAAGATTGGTCTCGCAGGGCCCTGTAAAACTAAATTTTCTATGTGGCATTTCCACCGACGATGCTTATTTTTACAGGAAATTTTACAGGAAATCAAAGATTTACTGCATTTACGCAAAACGCACCGTTTTCTTGCTTAGAAGCAAATGTACATGAGGTCATTTTTATGGCATCTTATCGCTAGTTTCACTAATTGACAGGACATGACTATTTATTTTTACGCATTTTATGCCTCATCATCGCTGCCACTGGGAACTCAAAACACCGAATTGTTTATTAAAAAAGATACCTGAGAAATGATCGATGCGGATAATTTCGAAATGCGGAAGTAACATATAGATACGTTGCAATAAAGCGAATCAGTTATATTGAGATATTTTCCCAAAAATACTTAGATATTTCACAATAGATAGAAATATGATTGGTTCAAATGTTATATCAAAAGCCAAATGTGTGCGTGCTCATGGACTGCAAGCAAGATTTATGGGCCTTTGAAACCATCTCTAATAAAGATTTTGCAAAACGTAGGTAATATATATCCTTCGTAATTTTGCTACCTGTACTTTTCGTCACAGTTTTACTGCTGGTTTTATTGTCAACTAGAAATTAATGTGTCATTATTTAAAGCAATCGTTTTAGAGACTCATGTTTGCCTATACGAAAGAATCGATTCGTTTCAGATAGCGCAGCTTAGCTCAATTTATTTTTTTTTCTTGAGACTTCTATATTCTTCGAGCAAACGTATTTGAAATATATATAATCCTTTTCAAAGCAAAACAAAATATTATTACCGTCCACCCTTACGATACGTAACATACGGCTACAGGAGGTAAACCGCATCTGTCACAAACCAAAACAAGCTTTTTTTCGCTGCGTTCCGGAATTTGAAGTTGGCATTAATAAAGGTAGCAGAATACGGAGTTCCAAAGAACACCCTATATTTAATTAGGGCAATACTTTAGAAATTCGATGGGCATAGATGACGGAGTTGTTCAAGTACTGTCTTCGTCCAATCAATTGACGTTGCGCAGAATTATAACCTAAGTCCCTTGCCTTTCTCTCCTGCCACTCCGTGTTCAGAATCTGACGGGACGGGTAAAAGTACGGTAAAGGTACGCCGACAATCTTATCATTTTTGGAAGGAATAGGTTTCATATATAGCAAGCTTTGCCAGACTGTAGAGTTACATGGATGAGGTCGGGTGTTGATCAACATAAATAAGACAGACGTCGTTAAGTTCCGCCTTCGAGCCGCCGTGCTGCTTTCGACACGCTCAACATAGGCAGCACGAAACTGAAATGCGTGAACATAGCTTCAACCATCTTGTGCATGAAGGGCCAGATGTACGCAGAGCACATCACGGGGAGGATGCTGCGAGCGATAATTGCCAGTATAGAAATACGTGCGCCTTCAAGAAAGTCTTGAAGGCGCACGACCCTGGCCTTTTTCAGGGTAAAGATGGCTACGACTGCTTTCTACGTTACCTAAATTGTCTGATAACAATTCTCACTGAAGCAGTTCTAAAAACTTAACCGAGTGAAACTTTCGGTTTGGGTCTGCATCCCTTGTCGTTGAACAGATCCGTATACCTTCTAGGAGATTTAGAGAGGATATGAAATGCAGATTTAAGCTCCCTTTTATCTCTTTCAACACATGGGAAAGAACGATATTGACTATTAAAACGGGAGCTATGACTAGTGGAGCCTGGAAAAGGCCAGATAGAACGAACCGGCCCGTTTTCTACTACAGGAATCTTGTCACACAGTATGTGGGGCAGTGGAATACGTCAGTGGCTTTGTGTAACTATACAGGATGTGGTGCATTATACCTCAGATGCTACTAAACACTATGTGCTGTGGTATTACCGTTGGGCAATCTTTCCCATAGAATGCACCGACCTTGAAAATATGAATTCCAAGTTCTGTGATTATACATTGATATAATGCAATTACATTTTTAAGAACAAATATCTTGTCACTATTTCTATTATTATTTTCACTATCGTCATTGTCATCCTTAATATTTCTCGTATTTCGCGTAAGTGTCATCATCCGTTAGATGAGGTTTTGAACGAACTTCGTTGACGTCCGCAAAGCGAATTAAAGCTGAAAGTCAGTCTTAGTCGACAGGATGTAAGATCCGAAAAAGAAAAGGTTTGATGAAGAGAAAGAAGGGCTAGATGTCCTCATTGTTATTTAGTTGTTCTTCAGTGGATTTATCATTTAGAAAAAGTATTCCCCTTAATAAACCCACCTAGCTTGTCGCCAAAAGATCTATAGCGAAAGCTCTCTATTCAGGCATAATTGGCCCTACCACTCGCTACCACAACTATTGAAAGCCTAGGTAAATGTAACTCTAAGCACTATAACTGAAAACAATGGACCGGCAAGACTAACCTGTTTCTACGGATGAACATTTAGGTTAGAGATACATACCGATAAGAGGCAAAAAAAAGCATAAGAGATAAGAAAAACGATGTGCCACTGAATTAAAATATAGTACAGTCTTAGATATAATTTTTATAGAAGCGTCTGCACAATCATTAAGTTGTGTACTCTAGATATCAGCTACGGTGTCGCGGTCATATATTGACATCATTACCTGCCTAGAATCAAAAGACTTTATTAAAAGAAACGAAAACGACCGCAACTTTTGGCACTTACCGTTTATATCAGCTTTCGCTGTTCAATGCCACAAAAGAACCTCATTCCGCCTCCTCCGCTTTATTTACACCTTTTGTTGCTCGTATTTAACGCTAGCAATACACCAGTGTACATTTGCCCTTTGATATAATTGTAAAGCTCTATATACGCGGATAGTCAACTGAATATCATTTGAAATCGTATCCTTATGGGGCTTCACACGTTACCAGCATAATTACATCTGTAGAGTCGTACATCTCCAGTTCATCGCTTAGATGAGAGGCTTTGCTATTATTAATCTGATTTTCATGGCCTTAATAATCGTGTCGTCGAGGGCGTTTTTGGAAGCTACTTAATTTACTGATGAAGAAATTTCTATACACGCACGATCACCTGTTATATCTGGAATACAGAAGTAACATGTTCCCTATATGGTAGCAAGCCTTACTCGTCGTTGATGAGCAGGCCTGCTTGTACCATCTCGAGGCTCTACGATTCTGTCTTCAAGTCAAAAACATCGTCGGAGTCGCTTCCTGCAAGTGACATATGTAGAAAAGCTGGCTCTTTTCAGTAAATCTCTTGCTTGCATCACAGTTATTATTGCCTTCTGTGAACAGCAAGCATGTTCCCAAGCGATAGCACACTGGTGACAATCTTTACGTGTATGGCACGACCTAAAAGGATATGCAATGGTCACCGGTATTATGTTGCAGTCGCTGCGTGGTAATGTCTCGCCAGGCCTGTGCTGTCATAAAGAAGGTAGAGGAGGTTTTCCTATTCAATCATGTTGAGGGCCAGCAGCTATAGAGCTATAGGCCATCGACACCCTGGAGGGTTGGAAGCCTTGACAGACTGACAGATCGGAAGAGGGCAATCAGCAATCGTCACGGAAGAATGTTGCGGAAGAGATTACAACAGCGACAGTGAAAACAATGACAGAAACAGCAGCAACAAAAACAACGCCTCCAGATCAAGCCCGTGTGCGACTGAGAACAGGCGTCGCCTGCGAATAATTGCTGGAGTAAACAAATGTTGTCTTGCACGTTTAAAGCAGTGATTGTGTATATGCGTGTCGCAGAAGCCTATTCATAGGATCATCTTGATTGTGATGTGAACAGTATGATAGAACTGCATGTCTGCCGTACCTTCATGATAATATCTTACAATGTATAATATCCTAAGGCAATGCAGTTTGTTCTTCAGACCTGAAAGGGAATGCCCCGGAGCATTGGACAAACGCTTACGTCGAGATAACCACATTGGAGAATGGAGGGTAACCGGTTTCAGTGCTACTACTCTGATGCTCCATTTTTTTCAGACGCGCAGCTCCTAGCTCAAACAGTTTCCTCTCTCTAGTGAAAGGTTTCTAAAGAGAAAGCCTTCGGTAGAAACCGTTGCGAAAAGGTGGTCAGTAGAACAAATTTGCAAAAGCGGCAACAGTAAATGTAGGAGAGTTACGCCGGTCGCAGTCAATGTTCTCAAAGCACAAACTATAGTGAGTGTGTTCTAAAGCCGCGTAGTTATCAGACACTTTTTCAAGATGGTATTTTCTAGCTCGGGATATCGGAGGACATATGCTGACCCGAAGCACTACAGTATAACCTCATTACAGTACTGGTGGTCCAAGGAAAAGAAGGAGATACATACTGCGACGGTCTGCCATTCTCCATTTCTCATCTACGAAGCATTAGTCGCCAGTCGGTTGGTGCAGCCGCCGATCAGGCAGCTAAAACACGGCGAAATCTTCCTCTGACTTTCTAATCTCTTCTCTCTGTCTCCTTTGTTTTCTAGCTGAAAGGCTAACTCGAGCATCAATAGTAGCCGCCGCCACCGCAACGAAATGGCGCACTGGAAACTTTTTTGAGGAGTGTTTGGTATGTTGCCCTGAAATGTTCTTCCTTGTAGTTGACGATTTACCGCTATTCTTTTTCCGATCGCCTACAAAGAGCTCAGAAATGCCTTCAGGAAGTCGCAATATCAAGTAACTGCTCGGCCAGCTAGCCAACAACGCTGTACTAACCTTCTCGCAACTACATCAGACGAAAATAGTCCGACTGCTAATTTTATTTTTCGTTTTTCGGAGCAGAGAAGTCTACTTGAACCTCAACAATATAAAGACCTAAGTACGATGCTCATTTCTCAAACGGGTGACTAAGGCCGCAGGCCCCGAGATATAGACACTACGATAACAACAATTCGCTGCCGCAACTGCCGCCAAAAAATAGCAGCTACGGCAATGGTAACGACCGTTAGTAAGAAACACCCTCAACCATTGAGTTCAGGAGTTTCTGGCTGTCTGACCATCACGGCACTATTGTGGCACCGGTCGCAAAGGGCCTACATAATCACCTCCGATAGATGCGAATATTTACCAATCGTTCAAGGGAGTAGATGAAAAGTGGTGAGCTCAGCAAAACATACAGGCTGTCAGACGCATATAAGTGTAAATGCAAATGTAAAATCTCATATACATATTTATCTCATCTAGAACGATATAATCTTTCCGTTGGTGCTTAGTGTATTAAATTAACAAGTAACTATACAGAATATCCTATAGATTAACGAGAGCTCTAAAATAACACCGGATAAAAATATTTTAGTGCATTTCTCTATCAGACTACAAAATACCAAATATTTTCCATGGTTGTCGCCTTTCACAGATAACAAGAACACGAGACAAACACGAGATTTTGAGGCGAACTACGGCGAGTGAACTGGTAAACATTTAGTATCCTTTTACCAGCCCTAATCTCAAGCCGCTTTATTTCAGTTATTATCACCAAAAGGAAAATCTGGACGAACAGGGTCTTGAACTATTACAGCTTTTTCCAGTTGGTCTTGAGTTAATCATACGAATGAGAATGTGAGGGAACAGAAATTTCTATAAGGGTAAACCTAACGTTAATAATTTGTGGGTGGTATTCACTGGAAATGATTGTTTTGATTTTAGTAGTAGGTGTTCAGCTCACGTCGCTTCCTAGAGTTATATGCATATAATGATAAAACACCTAGCGGTTACTAGTAACAGCAATTGCCTACAAAAATTATTGGTTTTAATTTGACAATACGATACAAGCAAATCTTATATCTTTGAACCGAACGCGATTTAATTCAAATTTTTGAAACAAGTTGGAGTGTCAGATCTCCTTCTATTATTGCCTTTCCAGCCGGTATGCCATCTTTTTTTGATTATTCCAGGGAGAGGATTGGAAGATCATAGCTCCGGGATGAGCACCCTAACAATAAATATATTATCTTATTCAAGTCATTTTCCTTTAAATATTTTTTTACTTTCATCATCGGGTATGACCTTTTGGACTCCTTTGCACAAATCGCACAACAGTATCGTATATAATCATAATAATATAAGCAAACAATTAGACACTAAAGCCGCGAAACTTGCGTTCTCTATCAGCAATTTTACTATATACATAGCAAGCCAAGGCCAAGTTAGTGCGTCTAGTGGCGCAAGCTTATAATCCTAAACAAGATTTTTAGGTGTGCTGGTAACATACTAAAAACGCCCACAAAAATGCACTGACTCATTCCTTGGGAGACCTAATTGTAAGCCGCCAGCTAACAGTCCTTTGCTTATAAACATGGCATGTTAAACGAAGCCAAGTATTCTTATTCCCTTTCTCTGTGCAATTGATTTCGCGAATAATTATGTTATCACTCTCAATTATGGTTGTATTTGCTTATGGCTTTACTAATGAACTCGCTGTATGCAATTTCAGTAATTTATATTTATTTGTTGTAACAGTTTGCATTTCAGTAAATACCAACAAACGATCGGATACTCCAACCCAAAAAATATACACAGTCTTCCTTCTCTAAATCTACTTATATTCACTTGTATTTATTCACATGCAAAAGAATAACTTCTGTCAGAATTAGAAGTTCTGGTATCTCCCAAGCTGTCAATTGCTTCACAGCCACGCACACACGTAAGCACACAATCCATACCAATGGACGACCAACCAGCTGAGCAGGTTTATTCAATAAACCCTTAGCATCACTATTTCACACGCTTTCTAGCTATCATACGATTTGATTTTAAACAGACTGCTAGCTGCATCTGTGCACATTTTTCCTTTTCGGTATTTACTATACAATGGTTTAACATTTTATACACAACCTTCATTGCAAGTGTTTCTCAGATTATGTCATTGATTGAACGACAAAAAAATCATACTCAATCCCATCAAATATTGATCAAAAAAAAACTGACGAGGCGAGAGTTACATTAATCGCTTGCAATCAAAGGTCCAGAGGAAGTGCAAGTCGTTACGCCAAGCGCAGCAAATCATCGAAATCTGTAATAAATACCGCGTCAAACTTTTCGCTCCATTATATCCGTTGATTGTATATGGCTTCTATATAATGATTATTGTATGCCAGCTCCGATCATATTTGATTCGACAGTGAAATCTTGTGACATTTCGTATTGTAACTGTGAATCGTTTCGACTTAAACAAAACATTGCGCGTAACGTGTTTTAGAACTAAAAACTGTTTCACGTTAGAGCAGTAGGCTTCACGCTTAAGGCTGCTGACTTGATTTAGGGTTTAAAGTTCAATTCCTTTAACGAGAATACAATCAGTGTTCGCGGAAGATCTACTCTCTACGCCCGTTAGCCAATGCACTCACAGTCAATTGCGACCAAGCAGGAAAAAAGCAATGCCACCTACGATCAGATACCCCGTAAATTGATTTGTCACATAATACATATTTACCCCATCAGGCAAACTTCGAAATCAATATGGCCCTTTTCAGAAATATTGAGTATTCCGCGGATGATGCACTTGCGTGACTTGTCGATAATAGAAGCTGTATAATAAATGAATGCATTCTCACCGTTATTTCTGGCATCATCTCATCTCAAATCAGTGTTTGTCTAGCATCGTCGCCTCGACCACAGTTTAATTTTATCTACTTTAGGTTGATTGTACATCTTTACACATCATCTTATACACCAATGTAATAATGCCAAATATTTAATGATAACTACCTATTAAGGATGTATCTTGATCGCTAGTCCCCTCCTTTATCTACATTTTATAGAAGAAGACGAAGGTGGGAATTATATAAAAATAAAAAGCATATAGAAAAGAAAACAAAAATCAGTGCTTTCACTAAAATAATACCCTTAAATATGCTTAAATTATAATCGCCGCGGTACTGTCACTCTAATCCACGGTGGCTCCCGCATTTTCTCCAAGACTCATTTGAATCTTTTTCTGTTCCGCCGCGATCACCAATCGATTCAGTTCCGCAGCATCATAGCCGATCAACTGTTTGAGGTCTACAACGAATTTGTACGCGAAACGTTTTCCCTGCACCTGAAAATAGTTTTTATTTCAGAATAACGTCTTACTAGTGCTTTGAATGCTCTAAACAATAATATATCAGCAGAAATGAAGGCTAAACAGTAGATTTCAGATTGTAAGCACAAACACTTACATATGATATGATATTTTTATTAATATATACCGTAAAGACATTTATTAAAGTAATGAACAGTGTATTCCATTCAAGTTATCTTTCAATTTTATTTTTCTTTAGAGAGCCGTCAGTGGTGCAGCGAAAAATGAATTACCGCGTTCGTACCTCATATTTATTATTACCGAGTTGGAGTTTAGTAAATCTTGCAGTACCTAATATTCGAATCAACGGTTGAGTTCGCTGCATTATTTAATCCATTCATCGTAAAAGAACACACTTAAAGCCGATAAAGTATTGTTACTAATTACATAATAGGGTATTGTAGACAATGGCTAGTTGAGATTCGATAGCAGATTTCTAATCTGAGAAATCTAAGATGGAGGAAGGAATAGCTTAATGGTAAAGCACCACATTATGACGTTTTATGAGTTTAGGATTCGTACAGTAGTACACAGAGCTATAGCTCAAGGCATTTCCATACCAGCTTAATTTGGAATGATCTGACTAATAAGCTTTTAGGTCGATCAGTTATAGTGCCCAGCGTAACAGATCTCCAAGAACTGAAAGACTGGTCTAAGTTTTTGGAATATGTGAAGAATGTATTTTATATTGGGGGAGAGAGAGTTGTACTCCTTCAAATTCAGACTCTGTACAACACCTGCTTAGTGTAGCAGGGTTTAACATAGGGTCACCATGCCACGTTAGTTTTTTTAGTTTGCAAAGTATACTGGTGTAGTATATAGGTGGTTAGACTAGATGGTCGCAGGCATGGTTTCAAGGTTTTTGAGTATATGGATGATTACATTTTTTAGCGCTTTTGCTTGATGAGAATTCTTAGTTTGATTCTGAAATCCTTGCTATCGATTTGCATCACATATAGAAATCACATTAGCCATCTTTAAATAAAAGAAGACCCAAACACGTTAATAGCATAAACGGGCATGCTGACAATAAGCGATAGAAAACTAGCTAAATTAAGAATGTCGCGGCCAGGGACCGCTGATGAAACAAAGAGAGGTACATTATTATAGCCGGTCTTGCATAAAAGACTAGCTTTGGTTATAGCTTCAAGTAATAATGAATGTGAAGTAGAGCGAATGCAGGGGTACAAAGAAGGGTGTTATCTGCTAGAAACGTCTTCTTGATCTGAAGTTTCTCCGCGAGTGCTCTCGATTATTTGGACAAGTGAAATTTAAAGAAAGACGTCAGGATCAGTGTTAATGGTAATTCTCCAATAGAAGGATCTCAATAAACATCGCTTTGTTTGCATTTTTGCTTTCAAGCGATTTTATTTATTAAGACTAAAAAAAGGGTACCTTAGACAAGCATAATCTTCACTACTTCTAATACTCTAGTGCAGTGTACCAACCTTTGTGATCATATCACCATCGTAATAATACCGAAGTGCTCTGCTGAGCTTCTCATAGTTCATAGTCGGCTTGTTTTTGCGCAAGCCCCATAGCCGAGCAACCATCTCAGGATTGATAAGTTTAAATTCGCCATCCTCTCCGCTCCACACAATATACTCGCGAGCGTCTTTATCCGTCAGTAGCTCCAAAAGGAACTGCCATAACTGAACCTGAATGATATCGTGAACAAGCTATACATTAGCTGGATACGTGTAAGACCCATAACAGCCAGGATTCAACAAAACATGCTCTTATATAGATTGCACACAAACATCCGCATGGAACGTAAAACCAAGCTATGAGCTAAATAAATAAAACAAATAGTTAAAGAAATAGCTTCAAGGTTAAGAACCGCCAAACCTGTCCATTGTTGCCCCCACGATTATTAACGAGTTCAAGAGACTGTCGACTGGAGGGCATTAGCTGGACAGAACTTCCACCTGACCTTCGACCACCTGTGACAAATGGAAAAAATTACATTTACTACAATTTAAAAAAGTGCGCATTGAATTTTTCCTAAGTTTTTCACTCGATTTTTCGCGGGATTACTGACATGAAATTATCCCGATATTTTATACCTGAATTATACATAAACTTATCCCGACATACTTTGGAGAGACGCAGGCACGGCTACGGACTTACTATTAAACAACACTTTTGAAGTAAATAAATTGGTATTATGAATAAATTTAAATCAATAAGTGTTTACGTAGAAGTCCAATAGATGTAAAGGATATGTTCCTTGAAACGAACGTTGCCACATACATATAAATTACATAAACAATTTGGATGGGTGTCTGGCGAGAGATTTGCATACTCACCGGTAGAAGTGTTTTGTTGCGCAGAAGATTTACGAAATTCTCCTAGTTTTTTGGTGCTTGGCACGGCAGGTTTGTCGGATAAAGAGTGTACAATCGCGACAATTTTACATTTTTTCATTAATTCTATATGCGTCCACATGAGGTCTGACGGATCGTAGGGTACCTGTAAAAAAAAATCAGAACAAAAGACATCAACGCAAACCGAATCGGTTTTAGAAACTTCGCTTATGCATTACATGCATATATTGGACATTGAGCTTAGAGAGTAATTGACAAGTGAATAATTTTTGGTCAGATGAGAGCCTTTACAGGACGATAGGTATCACATGTTATGTGTGGCGTACTATTGTATTATGACTCCACAAATGCTCTAAAGGTAGTAAACTAATGTAAATTAACGACAGCTAATAGTTGATTTTAGATTCTTCAGATAAACATCGACACGAAGTTATTTTGCTAAAGAACCAGACCAACAGCTTACTACAACATATATCATTGACTCACGAATATCGGCAATACTTACGATATTTTCTTAAGTATGTTTACATTTAAGGGCTAGCATTTCAGGAGAATCACTTCAAATTTCTTTTTAAAATGATTTTATTTTGGTTAATAAGAGTTAATAAGAGTTCAATTGGCTGTGACATAAAAGTAATTGTAAAAGTAGTAGAATACCTTTTCAAGGAACTGGTCATGCGTCATTTCATTTAGCTGCCGTCCTGATATCCGCCACAAATGAGGATTAACTGAAATTTCCGGCAGACGGAAGTGCCTAGCTGCCCAACGGAACCAAGCTTCTGTATGAGCTGGCCGCCACAGTCGGGGGTTCGTTGGAATACCTTCTCGGGCCATGATTAACTTAAACTCCGGCGACAGTACCCACTTGGTTACCTGATGCCATAGCCCAATAATTCATCCGGTAGAAGTCAATATGCTAATCAACAACTAATTAAACTAAAAATGCAAGAACAAAGGCATAATAATCTAGATACGAATATAAAATCGAAAAAAATTTGTAACACCATCGGAATTGTACCACTTATATCTATAAATATCCAAGCACGTATTTAACCACACTAGATATAAATGTGAGTCCACTACTAATAAAGGACGCTTACATGTTCTTCCTTATGATTAGCCGCGCCACTGCTATGTGCAGCTGTATCCGCAGAATGTCTTCTAGTGCTACTGTGTGTGCCGTTTCCAGAAGCCGATTTATTTGCTCGATGTCTTTGGTGGCAGTGAGGCTGCTCGACTTCTTCGAGTTCGGCTAGCGAATCATCGGCAGGTTTAAGAACGTCGACAATGTTGATCTTACGTATACCACCTTTGTTGCTAATTTCAACATTCACCTAAAGCTCATAGCGATAAAACGAGATTGAATATTAAGTTAAATACTACAGATCTTTACAGGAATCCAGGCCGAATAGATATCAGTGTACATATAGAACGAAGAAAGATAAAATAAAATCACCTGGACCATTCCTTCCCCTTGTACGCATTGGTCGACAAGGTTTCTGCTCGGATCTAGATGCTGATTATCCTGAAGAGTAAAAATATACCCTCGAAGGTTCAATCCGAGTCTTGTTTGTAACAATTGTCGAAGATAAGTCAAAGGCTGAGTAATCTCCATATTTTGGGCAAGAACTGACGTTTCCGTCCCCTCTGTCAAATCACTCAAAGCGCCGCTAGTACCGTCTTCACCGCTCTCATCCTCACCCGAACCAGACCCGGTCGGCAGTAACGCATCCGCCGCGATGGTTACGTCCGTTATTGGGTAAAACATATCCTCCATTTTTGTCTTGCTCCAGTTTAGCTCCTATAATTGTCACCTAAAGTGCGATTACGGGAAATTGATTATCAGATATAGACACATCTAACTGGCTTATGGTGTTTTCAACGTGTCTGAGAAACTATATATTGCAGTAGGGGAATATTTTTGTTTTTCTTTAGATGTTTAATGTGTGAATTTAGGAATACCATTATTGTGGTTGATTAATATTTTAGAATGGCTGCTGGGATTTGATCATCTTCTGAATTGTGTTTTTGCAGATTGAGTCTCTTCTTTTCATGTTTTAAAATACAGCTGACTCTCTGCGTTTATACATATAGAGGAGGAGTGAAACGTTTGAAAACGATCAAACTTCGATTACTCTTTGACACATCTTATATTTAACACGCTCACACATATGTATGTGATGAAATAAATAAAGTATTTATTGCACAATAACCGGATGCTATCACAGCTGGCCGTTTTCTTTCAGATTTATGTCTATATTATGGAAGTCAAATTGTTTATCTCGAAATTAAAAAAATTGTCTTGCAAACGAGAAGTTGCTCTCGTGAACTCATCATTTAATTATCTATGTATGATATATTATATATTAATAAGAAAGTATCCAAGGTTCGACACCACAGTAAGCTGTTTAGAATATTCCAATTTGGGCAACTAAATAAATTACTTTTCCACGTTTCAAGTGATGATGAAACTTTGATTCAACAAAAGAGACCCTGAAACCCGAAGAACATCTGTGGGTTGATAAACCCAGTTGGACTCGCCAAATTGACAAATGCTGTAATTAGTAATTTAATTATCCGGGAGTGCAAAGTAACCAGAGGCTGAAGTAACTTCTCATTCAATACAGATTTCTATTAACTTGACAGACGATTCCTTTTCTGAGCTATAGTTACTCGATCTGCAGGTGGTCATATAACTATACATCATCTCTATGTAAATCCAGTGCTTATATTTATCTAATCAACGTACTGCCTAGTGGCTTAAAAATGATTTATATTTTAAAGGGCTGAGACATTTAAGAAATAATACTTTCCAATAATACCAACATGATTAAGAGTTTTTCTAATTACACCTCAACGTCACTTTTTTTAGAATTAAACATGGATACAGTAAAGACACGTAGTATTCCAATACATCATTCGCTGTAAATCACCCAAAAGGAACTCGTTGATAACCTACTTTTCAAAGACTTTGATACCTTCAATAAAAGGTAGTATTTTAGGAAGAGATGACCCTTTAACAAACAACATTTTTAGTTATAAGTATTCTGAATTCTAATCTACCCATGATAAAAAATTTAATTGTGTACAATTCAATATGTTTTACCTTTTTATTTAATTTATACCTCTTATTTTGTATTGTGTGCTGTGACCATCTATCGGTAAATTCTTGGATTTCAAAATATAGTAATATTTTACACAAAGGCCCAAATAACATATTCGACGGTTTAGTTAACATCAAGGACTTCAGGAGTTAAGAGTTTTAACTATCGCAATATTGCAAATGAGTGTTTTTTTTGTGAGTAATAGGTCACGTATAAACTACGCAAACCATGGGAAACAACAAAATTTCCCACAATGATAGTGCACATATATGAGCGAGAGATACATGTGTGGGTGAACTAGAAGGCTGGGTGTGTTATCTGGGCTGTAGTATAAAATCTAAAACAATTTTTTAACGCATTTATACAAATTACTGATATATGATCACATCGCACTATACAAAATAATACATATACTCATATTTGAATTTTTCGTTCTGAAAGGGGGATAGGTTAGACATTCTGTCTGTCAGCAACAAAAATTTTGACCCAGTTAGGTCAGAATGCCACTAATCATGCACAAGAGCGTCCGTCGCAACAATGCTCAATAGTTGACTTATAAACTTATCTTTTGCCTACTTTTTTATTGTACGTTTATCTTTTGCTTACTTTTCATTATTGCACGCGAATTTTAGAAGCTTATTTGTTCTTAGAATGCCACTACGCGCTCAGTGGAGGCTTCTGACAGTTTCGTGGGCATCGCTTTAAACAAAATGACTTAATCTAATTGAATTGAAATAAAAGAACTCGCACACAATACACTAGGTGTGCGTGTATTGCCCACCGTCATCGGTATAAAAGTTTGATTTCAGGTTGTATTAATACAACTTCCATTTTAATGAACGAACTCCAGGTAGCTCATTGCCGTGGTCGACAACTAAAGCCCATCAAAAGGTAACATTAAGCTGTAGTGAACTCTGTGAAATGCCTTTGAAACAGTTATTTAACGACAGAACATGTTCCTAGTTTAATCAATTAAATAGAAGTCATCGCCTTGTTGGCTGCTGTTTTCGCTCCACTCCACAAAACACCACCCCGAAGCCCTTCACTCAACGGCTGCGTGAGACATAGTTCACCAATGTAAGGAAAGTGACATTCGATTTTTAGCCCACAACAACAGGAAGCGACATCCTGTTTCGGAGTGGCGACTACCAAACAAATTTGAGCTACTTTGCAAACCACTGATAACGTTGAATTTCCTTACCAACATCGGCTCAGTAAATAGACTTACCTATTAGAAATCCCTGGTTTCGCGCACAATTTTCCGCTCTTTTCCAAGCTTAGAGAAAATTATTGCCGCCGTCTTGAGGAACCGAAACGTGTGCGTTTCCGCCGGAATCATCAATGTTTACGAAGCGCCTCATTGGTTATCAAAATGGCGACGTTGAAATATAGCCTCGTCGCATTTCCGGTTATAAAGAGCGACATCATTGGCGCCAAATTTGAATAGGTCGTGAATTTTCTGTCCTTTAGGAACTCGGTACTGCAGAACAAAAACACAGGAATCGTTGCGCATTACGCCTAGCGTTTGAGAATAAAATTGTCAAATCATTCTAGAATATCAAACGCCCGAATAAGCCTGAAAATCGACACTGGGTAAAATGTATTGAAAAAATTATTATTGTATTGTTGTATTGTATTGTTGATCTTGTATCGAACATGATTGGAAGCGTTGCTGAATAATATCGAAATCAACACATACACTCTAAAATACCGTTGTTGCTTAAATTTTGATCTTAAACAATGTAAATATATATTGTTAAAAAATAATGTCTTCTAAGCCCGAAACGCAAGCATTACATAGCCAATGAATCAGTCTGCATATAAAAATTTAATTTTTCTTTATATATTCACGGCTTGCTACCTGTTCTCTACTAGAATTAAACGTGTACAATATTAAGTAATGGATTGCCAAGGGTTATTTTTAGTTACAATTGTAGTTTGACGAATTCAATTACAGATATTATATTTGTCAATAACTCAACAGCTATGATTAGCGTGTTATAGCGACTGTGTTGATCAGAAAGTTTCACAAATAAACGCTTGCTGAAAAATGTGTAGGTAAAGATAATGGGAAAGCTGGCATTTATATTCATTTATTATTTTTTCTTACCACTCGTTTAACATGGCTCTTTTCACATAATATTATAGAATTAATCCTGAATGAAGCAGCTTAGAAATCGAATTACGCTAGACATTGTACATTCAGTCGTAAATATAATATTTGTGACAAGCGGTTGGTTACAACAGAAAGTGGGTGAAAGACGTATGTCTTGGTATATCGATGAGTCTTCCCTTACGTTAAATTATTATTTGCAGTTCCATTTTTGCACCTAATCCTTTACCTGCTATAGTTGAGTGTTCACCAGTTATCAATTAAAGCAAGAAAGAAGGTTTTGTATACTTGCTCTGGCCGACCACTAATATGTTTAAACTCTTTATAGTGCTGTGATGATGACGAAATAGAACCTGAGAACAAAGCTAAACAGCTTTGTTTAGCTAGATAATATTATATATCGTATAGATATATAATATATACGCCAGTTACTAAAGAAGACTAGTTCAGAATAGACTTCGCTTGAATTGTGTGGTTGAGCAGCTTAATGTGCCCTTAAAATGGATTAAAATAGCCGTTACCAAAATATACTCCTAGATAGACAAAGCTATCGTTTAAGCTATACGAGATGTAATAAAGTATTGAGTATACTTAACTGTACTAATCTCTATACTCAGCTAAATCTATCGTGAAAAAACAGCCATAGGCAATGCACCTATAGAGGTAGAAAAAAGTAATGAACTTTTGTTCAGACAAAAACATGAAAAGTGGCGTAAAATCTACACCAATTTGACAGACTTTCTTACAGCTCGCCTGGCAGTGCGTCTGTCAGTTTCTGTAGTCCAAATTACTTGTTTTCTAAAATAAAGAAAAACATAACAGATACTTGTCTACCAGTTCACATGTCTTGTTTGAGAGTTTTGCTGGGCTTCATTAGGGAAAGAAACCAAACAAGCGTTTGCTCTTTATAAAGGCTCAAACAGATCTAAACAGGTTACGATTGTCGACGCGCAGCCGCCCAAATAAATATAAGGTTAGGCTTGCTTTGCTTGGCAAGTTTTTTTTTCATTATTTTTTTCTGTCGAGATGGTTGGCATAGTGATGGCGCTAACCGTAATCATCGAGAAATTTCGGTTTCAGTCCAGAAGGCGTATTATTTTGGCCTTTTACTTCTTTATTTTAGAAAATACTTAATATTGATTGCGTTTCAAAATGCACAAATGCAAAACTGAAATATTTCATACGCAGCCTGCAAGATTCGAATTAAACTCGTAGGTGACTATTACCATGGCCCTTCCCCCATCTAGTGAGAAAATAAATTATTCTACGACAAATTAAAATTATATAGTAAATTGGGGTTTCGGATATTCGTTTGCTCGTAATCTACGTTACTTCATGAAACGAAATTATAACATAATAGTTCATCTAGTTCGACTTCATATGTTTGTTTTTTCTGAAGACACCTCCGTATTTTTGAACTCCCAACAGAATGATCTTCATCGGAACGGTAACAGCCATGATTATTTACAGTTAGGTAACAGTTTCACCAGTAGATTTAACAGTCGCATGGTTTAAGCACTGGATCGCAAAGACTTAGGGAAGGAACCTGAATAAGTGAAGGCAACATTCTTCGCTGGCGCCAAAATGTAAATTTTATCCTGCAATGAAATGAACGGACCACATAATCTAAACCATCTGACTGACACCGTGCCTTTGCATTATGCTTTATTCTTAAACGCCCCTTTTGCTTTTAGGTTAAGTTTAGGTTAAATGATTAAGATTGTTTCTTCAAATGCATACAAAACAGCATATGAAGTGCCCACGTAGTCAAACAGCCGTTCTCGCGTCTGGGAGCAGTAACTCCTTTACTGTGCAAAAGCGGAACATTCCTGTGGATCGCTTAATGTAACACCCAGTCGATTTCAATTGATATATATAAATACATCCTCCAGCCATTAGTAATGGCTCGGAAAAAGTACCGTTTCTCCGATCTCCGTTAAAATGGAATCAATGCAATTTTTATGCTATTCGACACAAAAACACAGCCATGACGATCGTCGCACATTGTCAAACACTTGCGCTGTTTATAATTTTTATGGAACATGGTGTATATGCTTAAACATAATAATAGTACATATTTACCCCTACGACAGATAATTTGGCGAATTAACTCTGGAATTAGTTATAAGAGAAATTATTAGTTGCAGGGTTATGAGTTCCTAAAAGTTTTACTTACGATAATACTTATTCGGTGCACCCATGTTTCTTTGCATTTATTACTTATTTAAGAACTAAGACGATTTTTTTTATGCAGAGGCACAAACATCGAAATACAGTTCTTCAGCTGTTGTATGAAGGCTGGCTTTGTTTATAGGAATAAAATAGCACACTAACGAAAGTATAGATGCACGGAACTAATTTTGTGTTCCCGTGTGTGACGGTGTAACCTGAACGGCTTTGGCTATTAAGCTTTCGAACATGTAAAATAGTTTATATTCGAATTCTGGCGCAGGCATAATTCGTTATAATGGAAGCCAGCCGTCTGAAGCAGTGCGTAACTGCGGCACCGGACGTAAAGCTCGTAACATCCAGTATTGTTTTTTTTTATTTTTTCAACGACACATACTGGAGATAGTCGTTGTGAAATAGGTTGCGGGAAGGAACATAAACGAGATGATTTATTATGTAACTTTATTCTCTAATCTATTATTATTATTGGCAATGCTGAGGAATTGAAATTATTCTGTGCAAAGTAGCTTATTACCCGTAGAATGGTTTCATTTGTCTCTGATATCTTGATTCAGTTTTTTTTTACTTATCTGCAAGTGGTGTGCATATTTTGGCAAAAAAGTTTACCACAATGGTATTGCACAGTACTAATTGATGAGGTGTTTGTTATGATCCAATGCTAAAGAGAATTAAAATCGTTCAAAATTGTACACTTACACAATTCCATAGAAAATGAAAGTAGCACTTGGTTTATTACACTCATTTTTGTATTTCTAGATAATTTTAGTTTTTTGAGTTTTTTTTTTCTGGATGAATCAATATTGCGCATGTATTAGATATTACTATAGCCATAGGCTTGCCAAGTCGCCTAAAATACAAAACGGTAATAAATATGTATATATAGGAGATGACTGCTTATATCTCTTTGCGGGTCATATCGTGTGCAGTTATTTAATAAATTTGTTGTATTCGACTCGAAGTTCCAAAATCAAAATAAATGAATACAAGTTCCAAGCTCTACCTGAGTATACACATTGCACATAAAAGATATTTAGGAAATGCCGTAGCTCTAAATGTTGACTTTACTGCATATGTACGCATTAAAGTAAATTTCATGAAACTAACAAACGAAACAACATCCTTCATTTTAAACGTTGAGATTCTCAGTGATAATTTTAGGTGGACTTTTCTGTTGTTTGTGGTCTACAAATGTCTAAATTTAATAGGTGGTTGCTTTCTAAGGCTGCCTGTGCAAGCCTAAGGCATCTGTAAAATTTCTGTACTCGCTTGTTCAAACAACTCGAGGATGTTCTCCACATGACACCTGCCGTTATCTTGACATCGTAGACAATTGGATTAATTGGATCATCACATCCACAAAAATTAAGATGATCATCTGCTAGTTCGAAGGGCGATAAATTTCCAAATATGTTATAATTATACGGTACAATGTTTATGAGGACTACCATTTATGAAAACCGTAATACTTTGGGTATCTAATAGGGTATGAGGCAGCACCTTGATTTAAATTAGCGTAAACAGGAAGAGCTCCTGATAACAAACATTCTATAATAAATCTGACACACGCGAAGTCAATAACTAGACCGCTTCTTTCACCCTTGAACTAGTTTTCAACATTGTTCAAGTGTCAATTGCTCTAAGACAGAACCATTTCTTAACCGAACTCATCATATATATA